GAACAAAGCTGGAGATATCACACTCCCTGATTTCAAAATATACTATAAAGCCATAGTAACCAAAACAGTATGGTACTGGCACAAAAACAGAGACACAGATCAATGGAACAGAATCAAGAGCTCAGAAACAAAACCACACATCTGTGGACAGCTAATATTCAATAAGGGAGCCAAGAGCATACGATGGAGAAAGGAGAGTCTCTTCAATAAATGGTGTTGGGAAAACTGGACAGCCACATGCAAAAGAATGAAAGTAGACAATTACCTTACACCATGCACAAAAGTCAACTCAAAATGGATTAAAGACTTGAATGTAAGACCTGAAACCACGAAACTTCTAGAAGAACACATAGGCAGTACGCTCTTTGACATCAGTCTGAGCAGCATATTTTCAAGTACCATGTCTGACCAGGCAAGGGAAACAAAAGAAAAATGAACAAATGGAACTACATCAAACTAAAAATCTTCTGCACAGCAAAGGAAACTGTCAATAAAATGAAAAGACAACCTAAGAATCAGGAGAAGATATTTGCAAACCATATATAAGATAAGGGGTTAATATCCAAAATATACAAAGAACACATACATCTCAAAAAGAAACAACCCAATTAAAAAATGGGCAAAAGATCTGAACAGAGATTTCTCCAAAGAAGATATACGGATGGCCAACAGGCATGTGAAAAGGTGCTCAACATCAGTAGCTATCAGGGAAATGCAAATCAAAACTACAATGAGGTATCACCTCACTCCAGTCAGAATGGCTATAATTAACAAGACAGGAAACAAGTGTTGGAGAGGATGTGGAGAGAAGGGAACCGTCGGACATTGCTGGTGGGAGTGCAAACTGGTACAGCCACTGTGGAAAGCAGTATGGAGTATCCTCAGAAAATTAAGAATAGATCTACCATATGATCAAGCGATCCCACTGCTGGGTATTTATCCAAAGAACTTGAAAACACAAAGGCATAAAGATACATGCACCCCTATGTTCTTTGCAGCATTATTCACAATAGCCAAGACTTGGAAGCAACCTAGGTGCCCATCAAGGGATGAATGGATAAAGAAGATGTGGTATATATACGTAATGGAATACTACTCAGCCATAATAAATGATGAAATCTGGCCATTTGTGACAATATGGATGGTCCTTGAGGATATTATGCTGAGTGAAATAAGTCAGAGGGAGAAAGTCAAATGCGTATGATCTCACTCATAAGTAGAAGATAAAAACAACGACAAACAAACACATAGCAACAGAGATTGGATTGGTGGTTACCATAGGGGAAGGAAGGGGAGGGCAAAAGGGGTGATTAGGCTCACATGAGAGGTGATGGACTATAATTAGTTTATGGGTGGTGAACATGATGTAATCTACACAGAATTCTAAATATATTACGATGTACATCTGAAAGCTATATAATGTTATAATCCAATGTTACTGCAATAAAAAACACTAGCCCTGCTAACAAGCCTAAATGGTTGTTTACCTAGTAATAGTAAATTAACTGTCTGCCAGAACAAAGTTCAACACTCTTTGAAAGAACAGAGCAAAATTCAATCAACAACTAACATTCACAATGTTCTACGTTCAATTAAAAAATTGTTAGACATGGAAAGAATCAGGAAAATAAGAACCATAACAGAAACATAAGTCTACAGAAACAGACAAGAAATGACAGAGATGATAGAATTAGCAGATAAGGAATTGAAAACAGTTACCATATTTTCATGGAGTTAAAGGAAAACATGAACCAAATGAGAAGAGAAATGGAAACTATTTTTTAAAAATCCAAAAAGAACTTCTAGAGCTCGAAATACAATATTGGCAATAATGGAAGCAATATTACATCTGAACCATTCTGAGGGGCACAAGGCATTGGGAGATGCTGGCTCTCTCTCATAGAACTTTCTGAACCACGGAGAGGTGGCCAACCCCAGTGGATGGAGCTCAGACCCTGAAGTCCAAACAGTAGCTCCAAGCCTGGCTCCATCACAAAGAAGCTTGGGTAAATTTTTAAAGTACCTCAAAGCCGTAGTTTCCTCATTTGTGATGTGGGAATAGTAATTCTTAACTTGCAGCGTTATTGAGAGGATTAGAGGTGAGGCGGTGAAACACTTGGTGCAAAGTGAATAATAAATGATAAACATCATGATTAGTCCAGTGGCTCATCAAAGATTCCTGGGACCACTACATGAGGTATCTCCTCATTTTGGGTCTCAGGGTGGGATCCAATGACACTGGATGAGTGAAAGAAAAAAAACTAGCATACACATAAACAATATAAGTATACAAATCATCAAGCACAAGCAACACTGGGCATAAACATTATTCACCTATGTGTTGTGTGTGGGTTACAAAGAGAGTGAGGTGGGTCCTTTTCACTAGATAACAAAGGGTCAGGGGGCCCTGATTATGGAAATTTGGGTCAAGGGGTTCATAATTTGAAGTTTCTCCATTGGGAGAAGGATGACTTTTTAATTTGCAAATTGACTGACAGCAGCCTACTTAGCACAACATCTCTGTCATTAAGTGGCCCCCTTGACGCTTTGACGCAGGGAACTGTGGCTCTCAGGGAATCCTAGGAGACCACTGCTCCAGAATCTCGTCTCCAGGTAGGGGCAGGTGCTGGGGCACAAAATTAATATAGTTGCTCAGATCTTGGAAAGTTATTTTCTCTTATGATGAAAGAAACAGAGACAGCTGTTTACTGAGCAGCTACTGTTTACAAGGCAGGCATTGTGCTAAAGGCTTTATCTGGATTATCTAGAATAAACATTCGCTTATTCAACAGTTATTTATTGAGTTCCAACAGGCACTGTGCAAGATGTTAGGCATGCACTGGGATCATAGAAAAAGATAAGTGAACAGGTCATAACCACAGAGTACCACCCAAGCATGGGCCCGGAGCAGAGGGCCAACACCTCACCCAGCCTTAGTCGGGGAGGGTGTGTGTGTGAATAGAACACTCCAGGCAGAGGAAAGGGCAAGCACTAAGGCGTGGCAGTGAGAGAGACAGAGGGTAGTTCTTTAGGGGAATTGCCAGTGGTTCCTAAGTTTGGAGCAGAAAAAGTCTGCAGAAATAAGCCAGCAGCCTAGTCATGAAGGCTTCATATGCCTGGAATAGAGTTGCCAGATTCAGCAAATAAAAATACAAGATGCTAGGGGGCCGGCCCTGGGGCCAAGTGGTTAAAGTTCCGGGTGCTCCACTTTGGCAGCCTCGGTTCATAGGTTCAGATCCCAGGCACGGACCTACTCCACTCGTCAGCCATGCTGTGGAGGCATCCCACGTACAAGGTGGAGGAAGATTGGCACGAATGTTAGCTCAGGGCCAATTTTCCTCAAGCAAAAAAAAGGAGGAAGATTGGCAACAAGTGTTAGCTCAGGGTGAATCTTCCTTGCACACACACGGAAAAAAACCCAGGATGCTAAGCCTGGTGAACACTGCCTCAGCCAGGTGATCAAGGTCAACATCAACATGAGAAGTCATGTGGATAGTATGTACCCTTAACATGATGGAATGAGAATGGCACTTTACCTCTGTGGTCCTCCTCCCCAAAACACACAACCCCAGTCCAACCTGAGAAAAACATCAGACAGACCCAAATTGAGGGACATTCCACAAAATGCTTGGCCAGTACTCCTCGAAACTGTCAAGGTGGTCAAAAATGAGGAATGTCTGACTGTCACAGCCAGGAGGAGCCTAAGAAAGCGTGACAGCTAAATAGATGTGCTATCCTAGATGGGATTCTGGAACAGAAAAGGACCTTAGGTGAAAACAAAGGAAATCTAATAAAGTAGGGACTTTAGTTAATGATAACATAATCAACATTAGTTTGTTAATTGTGACCAATGTGTCATACTTATGCAAGATGTTAATGGATAGAGTAACTCTCCGTACTACCTTCATAATTTTTCTATAAATCTAAAACAATTCTAAAATAAAGTTTATTTGAAAATACAGGGTGCCCAGTTAAATCTGAATTTCAGCTAAACATCTAATTTTTTTTTAGTGTAAGTATATCCCATGCAATGTTTGGAGCATAATTATATCAAAAAATTATTCATTGTCTGTCTGAAATTCAAGTTTTACTAAGTGTCCTGGAAACTCTTTCCTGGAAAGAAGTTCACCCTGAGAACACCAAAGAAAGCAGTTAGGAGCTACTGAAGGGCCTCTGGCAGGAAGGCGCACAATGCGCAACTTAGACAGTAGATATACAGGTGAGGAAACTGAGGCTCGATGGTTTTGCCAGAGTGCCCAGCTAGCTGAGTAGGAAGCCACGATCTGAACACAGGTCTGTCTCACCTCAAGCCCATGTCTATTCATTACACTCCGATGCCTCACAGAACTCTTTCCAAAAACATCCACAATAATTCTCTCTTGCTGGCAAAGAATAAAGGAGGACCGAGAGTAGATGTCCTGTCTGGAGGACTCCAGCAAAAGCAGGCGAGTGCTTCTGAGCACCGAAACTCAGGGCTGCCCAAAACACAAGGCCACGTTTCCTGCTGGGTACGAGCTCCGCACTAATGTCCCCCTTCCCCTCCTCTCTCTCCATCATATCTTCACCATCATAGTCAAAGCAGACATACTCTGAACCATGAACTGAAAAGCTGGAAGGGACCTTTGGAGCCATTCATCCAAAGTCCGCCTTTGAGCACGATTCCCATCTGCAGTTGTCCCCACAGATGCCACCTTCTTGGTCTAGCTCTTAACTGATGGCTCCAGCCCGTGGCAGTCTTTCCCCGCCTTTCATTCCCACTTCCAAACTGCTTAGCAGCTAACCAAGCTAATTAGGGCTATGTGTTAAGTAAGAGTCAGTGGTCTCTGAGCAAGGGCCCAAAAGGCTCTTCTGTGCGGAAACGGAAACTTTGTAATGTGTACTCCAGCTGCTCAGGGATCTTTCTGCCTGACTCTTCCTCATCTTGTTCCAAATAGATGATGCTGCTTTATACCTGGGCTCCACAGAGCTGAGGTTAACGAACTGTATTTGGACGAGCAGAGTCCAAGGGTTGCTTTAGTTTATTTTAGTACCACAGGGCAGACGCAGAGGGGCAACAGACAGGTGACGTGTACTCAGCCAGCAAAATCTCCTGCAGGAAATTATTGATGCCAGCCAGCTGCTCCAGGCCCCTGCTGGGCTCGTTCTCCTCCTCTCCTCTCTCTCAGGGGACGGCCATCCCGCTGTGGCTTGCCAGCTCTGAAAGACAAAGAGGGCAAAGCTCTCAGCCTGCTGTGTGCCTGCCTCCAACACATCCCCCCATGCAACCAGCAACAACAGGGCCCTGCCGGGGGTGGAGGAAGGACATGTCCAGCAATCCTCTTTCCTCTAGAAATGGGATTGGAAATGGGGTAATCGTCTAAATGGGCAGTCCTGATGCATCGATAAGCATAACTCCCATTTTTATTATGGTGATGAGGCTGCCTGAGCACGCGTAATCCCTCTCTGGGCTCCAGGAGATTGCCAGGCAGCCAGCCGCCACCCCGCCCTCCGCCACAGCTGCATTAGTCTGATGGGAAGAGGTGCTGAGCTCTAAACGGACTGCATTTCATAATGGCATTTAAAAGCACAGATCCTGGGGTCAGGCCAGTGTCCAGGACACTGCTGACCGAGCTCCCTGTCCCCTTGAAACTGCCCTTCTGCTCCCCCAAATACTGATGGGGCAAAGACGGACCAAATACAGGGCTGCCCTCAGTCACGTAGGGTCAAAAAGTGTCAGGAAAGACCCCAGTTAAAATCACTCAAGGAAATGCGGTATAATAGAAAACCTTTAGGTTCTAGCCCCAGCCAACCCACTAACTCTGGAGGCCTCAGTTTCCTCAACTGCATTAGGTGATTGCTAAGGTCCCTTCCTGCTCTCCCACATAAAAGACTCACGGATTCAAGACTCTCCCACCCAGCCAGGGATTCCATTCTCATAGAGTAATTCCCTTGTGTTCTCAAGGCTGTTCTATCTTTTACACCTCCCTATTGGAATTATAATCATCCACCTTATTAGTGAACTCCTTATGGGAGAAAATGACCTAGTAGTAGCTAGAAGCAAGGCCCTGAGGGAATAGGACATGCAGGGGAGGTATGGCCTTGTGTACCAGCAAGATGCAAGGGTTTCAGGAAGGGAGGTAGAAAAACACCCAAGGCCACGTCATCTGGGGCCCACCGTGTGGGCAAAGTCCACACTGAGAGTGGATGAGGTCCGGGCAGATGGACTGCAGATTAGGGCAGCTGGTTCCGCTGATGGCACTCAGAGACCTTCAGAACAAATCGTGACTCTGTGTGCCCACTGGCTCCTGAGTGGAGGCTTCGTCTTTCCCCATTCACTCACTGGCTCAAGCACTGATCAGCCAGGAGGCCAGGAGGTGCAGCAGAATTAACTGGATTTAGATTCGGAAGCTGGGCCCTAGCTGCAGTGCCAGCATTTGCATGACACTGAACAAGGGATTTCACCATTCCGAGCCAGCAAAATAAGGCAAGTGCATGCCTTGCACACTTTGTGGGCAGGCTTGTCACCTTGCACTCCTCCAGGAGGTGCCATTCCCTTGGGTATCTAAATGAGTAGCGACAGCCAGAATTGGGCAGTGCGCAACTGGCACAGTCAAACGTCGTGGCCTGACTGGTAGTTAAAAAACATCAAATGACATAAGATATATTAGTCATGAACACTGTGAACACAAGAGTATCATCACATTGGTCACATTCTAGAAGAAGACGCTAGATCCATAAAAGACATTTGCAAAAAGCTAAAATTTAGTGGCCTCAAGTTTTGCATTCTATCCACTCAAACATGGAGGAACAGTAGAGCAATCCATTATATCAGCCTAGTGCTCTCGTCGTGATTCAGACTACAAGAGCCATAGAAAAGAATAAGCAAAATAGGAGGTGTGGCCCCAAGCCCAGAGTGAGGCAAATACCCTTCCTTACGTGTCTCCCTGGTCCGAAGACCACACTATTCCCCTCTCAAAATATGCTTCGTTATAAGACATGGAGTCTCAGTTAAGACAGGCTCCATGATAGACTTCAGGGAAGGAAGACGGGGACCAGATATGTCTAGCCCAAAAGGAGGTTCCTTGCATTTCACACCCTCTCACACACCAGCTAACATCAGCTCAGGGCAGCAGGTCCTAAGGGTGCCCTTTCTTCTCAACCTTCCACAGGCCACATTTGCCTGGGAAAGGAAAAAGACCCACAGATTCGCGACTCTATCACGCTGCCCACCTCCCTGCTGATTCGAAGCTCCTTCTCACTCTTCCCTGTACATTGGCGATGCTCAAGCCAGGCAGGTTAAAAATGCTGAAATAATGCAAAGCCCCTTGATCCACTACTGCCTTTCCTATGGTGGGAAAAGGTGGAAATGAGGGGAAAAGGTGGAAATGGGAACCACTAAAAGCATTTGTGCCCATCTCTCCATTTCTCCTTTCACTACTCTAATTCAGGTCATCTTTATTAGATGCCTCCTAACGTGTCTCCTTGATTCCGAGACCCTTTGCTCTCTACTCCATACCCCTCTTACAGCTACTGCTCCAAAACACAGCTCTTGGCCCATCATATCCTTGCATCACAGGCTGCAAAGCACCCCGTGCCGAGATGACACTATCTCTGCCACAAGCTTGTTCCCAACCTCACCTCTGGCTACTTCCTCTCATGTAGCCTACATTTCAGTCCCACAAGGTGGCCTTCCATTCCTGAACAACTTCAAGCATTCATTCACCCAACACACAATTAACTGAGTGTGTAAGTGTATCAGGGAGTGTGCTGGGCATTGGAAATGTAGTAGAGGGCAAACCCAGCCAGGCATCCCGGAGCTTACAGGGAAAGCTTACATCCCTTTCAGGGAAAACAGACATCAAATAACCACAAAAATAAATGTACGATGACAAACTGTAATATTTAATAAGGAAATGTGCTCAGAGATGTACAAGGCAGAAGGGCTGAAGTAGTCTAGGGGATCAGAGAAGGTTTCCCTGAAGAAGTGAGATTTGAGCTGATATGTGAAAAATGAGAAGGGATAAATGAGGCAAATGGGGCGGGAGTGACAGCAGCCACAGAAGAGAGGATTCCAGAGGCCTATAAGCAGCAGAAAGAAGGCCGGTCCCACTGAGGACAGAGGTGGGGGTGCTGGTCCGCGATGGAGCTGAGGAAGTTGCCAGGGACCAGACTATGAGGGGTCTTAGAGGCTCTACTGAGCACATAGATCTTTATCCTAAGAGAAGTAACGAGAAGGCATTAAGAGGTTTTAAGCAGGGGAGGAGGGTAGTTTGGGGAGCATGTGACGTGATCAGATTTGCATTTTGAAATGCTCACTCCAGTTGCTCTGAGAAGGGGCTGGGGGCCGAGAGTGGATGTGGGGGTCCAGTGAGGAGGAAATCGCATCCATCTCAGGCAAGAGACAGAGATGTAAATTTGGACTGGAAGCTGGGAGTGGAGAGCGAGCTGAGCAAATGAGTTTTCCAAACCAGACTTTACCAAACCAGATGGATGGGCAGCACCATCTGGAAAGATATAGCTGCGGAAGATGACCAGATTTGGGTGGAAAGATCCTGAGATCAGTGTGGAACATAATGGGTTTAGGGAACCTTTGAGGCCTCCGAGTGGAAAGATCAGTGATAGATGGGTCTGGGATGGAGACATACGTTTCAAGGGCCATCTGCGCACAGATTGCAGTGGAAGATGTCGACATGAATGAGATTGCTTTATGTCATCTCTTACAGTCACCTTCTCTCTCCAGTCGTTCCCCTTGTGCCTGTTCCATGCAGGGAATGTAGGACTCTGCTGCCTCATAAAACCCCTTAGGCCTCGGTACCCATTCCTGCTGCTGTAGGGCCTCCTCCATCATTTTATGACCAGTCTCTGACGTGTCTTCCCCAGTAACAATCCAGGAACACCTTGGGACAGAGACATGTGGCTCTCCTCCTGATGTCCTCAGCACACAGAGCAGAGCCTTGCTCTTGAGTGAGCAGTAAGATACAGGCCCACTTTTCAGGTCCACCACAAAGCCCCAGCACAGTGTTGCTCTGGAGGAGAAGAGAATGCAGGCCGAGACCCCAGAGCCTCATCTGAAAACGGGTCTCAGAGTCTTCAAAGGGGAAATGGTCCCATTCCTTACCTCTGCTTCCAAGACTCCAATAAAGGACTGAAGAATTTTAAAATGAGAATGGTATTGATGTTTTCCCACTGGTAGTGTAGATAAGTGAGCAATCAGATATCTACTGGGGATGTATTTATCATTTGTTAAGTGTGCAAGGCACAGGTAGAGAAAATGAGTAAGCTCTGTCTTCAAAGAGCTTCTAGTGCAATCTCTTACTCAGAACCCAGTGTTCTGATTATAATTCAAAACAAAGTTGTGCATGATTTCACGTGAGTATCTACAGGAAAATCAAAGCCTGAGTCCCCAAGGAATTTATAATCTCAAGAAAATATAAGACCAACATAGATGAAAAGTTAACTTTATCAATACACACAGAGCCTACACTCTCCAGTGCCTGTTTTTAAACAAGAAAAAGGTACCCTCCCTCCAAGCAGACACAGTCCCTCAGTGGGCCATGTGAACTGGCTGGATTTAAGGCCGTGTCTCCCTGGCCTGGCCAGATGTCCTCGTGCAGTGCACCCCCTGCACAATGTATGTGTGACACCACTAATGGGTGTTGTTCACAGGGAGGGATCATTACAGGGTGGGCAAGCCAGGAAATAGGAAGAATTGACTGGGTAAGGAAAGAAGACACAGCTGCAAGGAAGGCCAGAGGAATGTCTAGTGTCAAATCAGGTTTGACCAAGGTGAAGGGTGCACCTGAGGAGCAAGGAAACGAGACTGGGGAGGTTTGGAGGGGGAATGATTATGGAAGGCCCCAAACACCGGGCTAGGGAGTTTATACTTAACCCTGGACAAGCTGAGCGTTGCCTAGGGACTTCTTCCTCTGTGAGGGTTAATTTTATGCGTTAAATTGAATGGACCTTGGGGTGCCCAGATTAAACATCGTTTCTGGGTGTGTCGGTGAGGTTGTTTCTGGATGAAATTAGCATCTGAATCAGTGAACTCAGCAAAGTAGGTTGCCCCCCCCCCCCCATGCAGGTAGGCATCATCCCATCCACTGAGCGCCTGAATAGAACAAAAGGTGGAGGACGGAGGAATTGGTCCCTTTTTTCCTGCCTCACTACTCAAGCTAGTATATCTCATCTCATCTGCCCTCAGACTGGGATTTACATCACCAGCTCCCCTGGTTCTCAGGCCTTCAGACTCAGACTGAATTACACCACTGGCTTTCCTGGGTCTCCAGCTTACAGACAGTAGATCATGGGACTTCTCAGCCTCCATAATCACATGAGCCAATTCTTCATAATAAATCTCATTTTAGAAAGATAAAAAGATGATAGAAAGATAGATAGATAGATATCTTATTGGTTCTGTTTCTCTAGAGAATCCTCTTACACTTTCTTTTCACCAAAGCAATGCCATGGAGAGTTGGCTACCACTTGCAAAAGTGCCCACTTGCATCCTGAAGGTCCATGAATGATACCATTGGACAATACAATATCTTTGTGCTGGCAAGAAACCCCAAATAATAAGGTGCAATCCCATGCATTTGTAGCCTGCCTAAAATATATATTCTATGTCCAATATATTTATTTTTACAATAGTCTCATTTGATTAACACAATGAGAAGATAGAGCAGTTGAGAGTCTCGGTGAAGGTCAAAGAAAAAATTCACGGTGGCAAAGCTGGGACTGGAACCCAGGTCTCTTCCTCAGAATCCAGTGCTCGAGGGCACTCAGGCTCCCTGCACTTGCCTCGGCAGGACCCCTTTTTCACCAGTCACCACACTGACTACTTGAGTCTGCCAGCCCTGGGGCCTTTCCAAGAAAAGACAAAGCTTCCACACAAGCAGTAATGACATTGATGATGTCAAGCCAGAGGCAGGGGATTGTTGCTCATTTCCTTAAAATACTCGCTCAGCAGCACCCATGCCCTCATCCCCACCACCCATCATCCCAAGAAAGAGATGTATGGTACTTCATGAACATGAAGGGGAAAATAATTCCCTGTAGATTTTTGCAGTCTCATTCTCCCAGCTTGTCAAATGCCAGCAGCAAGCCAGTCTGGCTGCATCGTTAGCTTGGCTCAATCTTATTTTGTAGTGTTTTGCAGATTCCAGCAGCCTTTTTGTTCCCCCCCAACTGGGCAAAAACATATCACCTTTGAGCTTCCTGGTGTATCATTCAAAAGATTTCCCTGTTCATCTTGGACTTCATAATATAGTATTCTCTCCTGCGATCACAAGCCACATTTTTTTCTCCAAGAAAGAACATAAAAGTTATTTTTAACAACATAATACAAGATATGTGATCAAAATATAATTTAAAAAAACAACTAAATGGAAGACTTTTCAGTATGTCATGCAAAGCACAAAAAGCATGCTGTTCAAAAGCTAATTTTCAGTTATCATATTTACATTCCCCCTCCTTTTTTTTTTTTTTTCTGCTTCACCCTTTTGTTGCAAAGGAAGCTGGAATGAAAGGGGATTTGTCTCTTTTTCTCAGACTCATCTCTCACTGCTGAGTTTCTCCACACCTGAATTCACACATCTCCCACATCATGACAATTACCTCCATGGTAACCCCTGATGACATCATAAACATAATGTGATAGCAGGAGAAACAAGAGCTCCTGAGACCCTGTTGGATGCAAATGCCCTCGATGAGCTAAGGGACTTGCAGGAACAACGGGAATTTTGTCTTGAGATTTTAGCAGAAAAGTAATTCTTGAAATCTATTCTCGTGTTTCAATATTTATTGGATTTCAAAGCTTCTTGCTGCCCAGGAGCCTGTGAATATGGTCAAAGGGCCATGACATTTCTAAAATGGCACTACAGCACCTGCACCCGAAAGCAAACTAAGGGAACCAATGGATTTCAGCCTAAAGACACAAATCTTTAACAACAGTTAGATTTTACAGGTATTTTTGACGGTCAAGAGAGGGGCTCTCGGAATGGCTCCGTGATTTTAGAGAAAACAATGTGTTCCTGGAAAGCCTTTTTCTCTTTCTACCTTTTCTTACCCAAAATAAATGCCTAAAGCCTCAAGCCAAGGTCAACAGCTATTAATAACTTTGTGGACACCAGCCAAGAAAAGTGGACACACCACGGGTATGTGACATGTACGCCACACAAACTTCACAGCGAAGAATAGAAGCGCTTTGTGGTAAGAAAGTGGTGAGATGTGAGACGAATGCTAACATCCACTTTTCACAGGCATTTTTCTCTGCAAACAGCCCCAGCTTTGGGATTTAAAATTTTATTCTAAATGCTATTAGGTACATCAGGGCTCTCAAAATATGGATTTCAAGTTGGAGACATCAAAGTGCATGATTTACTAAAACCGCTGTGGCTTTCCCCCCACCTCTTCCTTCACAAGATGCTATTGTAAAATTCAGGCTGCTTTAATCTCTGTGATTGAAAAAAAAAAAAAGAAAAGAAAAAAGAAATGAAAAGTGCAGCTTGAAAAGGAACTGAACTCACAATCTGGGAGAAAAAAGTAAGCGTTACCCAGTGAGCTCTTCAGTTTAATTACTGGCCTGAGAATTTCAAGTTACATGTGTTTTAATTATCCACAGAAAGACTCACCTATTATTCTCTGAATGCAAAATTTTTAAAGCAAACAGAAAATGGGAGAGGAAAGTCTTATTTAAGGACTTCCAAGAATTAATCTTTGCATTCTTCTCATTTTTTTCCCAAATTTGGGGATAAAATTTGTCATGGAGTGTTTGATCTTAGGGAAACACTGAGCTTGACTTTATGAACGCAAACTAATATGACTATTGTTTTAGCGAACAATTTCAGAAGCATAGGGCTCTAGTAGAGGGCTATATAAAATTTTGCATTAACAAAATAACACAACTGTGTTTTCTCTTGAAACGCAAGAAATTGAACTGCATGAATATGTTTGCTGATTGAGTGAATGAGTGCATGAGTGAGTGAAAGTCTCAGGGCTCCTTCACTCATCAAGCCTTTTGATGTCCTTAAACTTTTACTTGCATTTTTAAAGTATGTTAATTTGTTTTACTTGTCCATCTTGGGTTGTCAGTTTCTGCCACAAAAAAAGAGCAAAATTAATTTTAATTGACTTTAATTTGAAAACATGTCACTCCAGATTTCTAAAAAGTAGAATTCTAAAAATGACTGGGCATTGCCAAAGCTTTAAGGAGCCTTCGAATGGCTGTAACTGACTTATCATGGGCTCACAATGACACCTAGGGAGAAAGCACTTTTGATTATGAAGGAACAACCTTTTTATTAACGCTGAAGCCCCTTACTCCAACCCCACTAACCAGTCAACAGTTGTTCAAAGCACATCTAACTGAGCTCCTGCAATGGGCAAGGAACTCTGCTAAATGCTTTGGGGGAGAAAAAGATGGCAGTACCTGGTTCTTAGGTAGCCTGTTAAGGAAGATAGGACCCCTAAAGACATTGTGAAAACCATTGGTTACAGCTGATATGTGCTTTGGAAGTTCTAAGGAGCAGGAGACCACTTCTGAGTAGGAAGACCACTGTGGGCTTCATTCAGCAAGAATCAATGGCAAGACAAAATTTATGCAATGACCCAGAGCCAGAAACCTGGGATATATTTAGAACAATGAGCAGAGGACTGACTTTGTTGAGTGCCTGTTGTGGCCAGGGTGCAGAACAGAAAGAGGATCTTGTGAGTCAAAGCCACTATGTACCCAAGAGTGGATAATATGGTCAACCTATAATCCCAGGATCCGAGTAGGAGTGAGAGGAGAGAAGGCAAGGGGTGGCCAGGACCTGCAGTGAGAGTTCAAAAGGAAATATCCTCAGCCTAAGATAGAGACACAGTCACTGACTGTCTCCGGCAGGAGCCAAGAAAGGGAAAAGAAACATGGTCAATTATTAAGCCATTGGACTCTACAAAGCTGCTCACCTTCCTGCTGTTGGCCTGGAATGAGTTTTCTGGGCCCTCCATAGGTATAGCAGCTTTCACCCAGCAGCATCTTAAAGGCATTACTCTGCTTCTGACACTTATACAACACGACAAATTAGAATGCACTAGCTGCTGCTTCTGGGGTGGCCACAACCCAAAGACAGCTTGTTAGGAACCATTTGCCTGCCAACCCCAAAGTCCTCAGGTCTTCAGCAAAGTTGGGGACACTTGGCAAGGTATTTAGTTCCCAAAGCAATGATGAGAAGAGCTCTGGGCTGGCAGTCAAGAGAGCAGGTGCTGGCTGATGCTGGCCTGGACATCAACTTCCTGTTGGACTTTGGGTGAGCCTCTTCCTCTCTCGAGGTCCAATTTCATTTGTAAAATGAGGAAGTTGGACCAAATACTTTCTTCCATGTCTTGCATTCTGTGAGTTGAGATCAAGTGACTCTTCCGAGTTCACGCAGCCACGTGAAAGTGAGAGCCTGGACCGGATCCTGTGTCTCCTGACCCATCAATCCAGTTGTTCTTTCCACTGGGTTGGGCTACACGAGCAGGAGATGTTAACAGTAACAGCTAACATTCATTGATGCGCTGGCTACTGCATACCAGTGTCTATTCTATATTTATTAGTCCTCACATCAATCATTTGGGTTTGATAAAGTTGTCAAATCACTTTGCAGATAGGAAACAAACACAGAAAGGTTAAGTCATTGGCCCATAATCACAAAATTCGTAAACGCAAAGCTAGGATTTGAAGTGAGACAGTCCAATTCCAGGACCTATTATCTTCATCTCTACTCTCCACACAACACAGTAGAATAAGAAGGAGCCGCAGAGCAACATAAGGGACATGGAGCCTTAAAATAGAAAACATGGCAGGCTTCCAATGGTGAATTCACACTGCAAGCATGAGAGCTTTCAGAAGAAATATTTTGGTCAGTGTTGCTTGCCTGCGTACCTCCCCTTTCCCTCCCCAAGATGACCGCATGAACAGTCCCTGGGGCATCATTTAGGATCCAGTGGTCTTAACAGTGGTCTGAATGGAGTACGGATAATGACCACCTAGAAAATCAGGAGACAGTGGCCTCCCAGCTGACTCCCCCAGTCCATAAGACAAGGAAAACCAAAAACACCGCAGATTATTTTTACTACAAAATAAAACCCGAGAGGAGGGATCCTCTGGAAATCTTCAGGGAGCCACGCTGACATCACCCCTAGGCACACAGGCTCACGCGCAGGCTTATCCAGTTGAACACGTCTCAGATTCATGGCTGTGCCAAGCTAGACATCATTTTAAATAAAACAAAGGGAAAAGGCACTTAAAAACTCTAAAACTTCTTTTGGAGGCCTGTACGACACGATCTCTACGTCCTCTTTTACCACGACATCTAAGATCTCTACTCTAGGAGATTTATGAGTAATTTCTGGGTAGATTTTCCTATTGCTGATAAAAAATGTGTTAGTGTGTTTGCGAGAACCCTGAACAAAGACTGGTAACCTTATTTCTAGTCCAGCCCTTTCACCAACTGGCCACTTGACCTTGGCTGGTCATTTGACCTCCCTGAGGCCTAGGTCCTCAGCTGCAGTGAGAAGGCTGATCTTCTCAGAGTTCTAGAGTTCTGTGAGCCAGCCAAGGACCAAGAGTCCTTGAATTGTGTGTTTTGCTAGATGGATCCACAGAACAAAATTGTGATCCATGGGGATTAGATTCAAATAAGAAACAAGAGGCAACGAATGCTCTTCTGAAAGAGAAATTAAGTTCAGATAAAAACCTGTGCCTCTGTCTAGTTCTGGAAGCTCGGCTTGGCCCTGACCTGCTGCTAAGCCTCGGGGGCTCCTCAGTCTATCCACACAGCAGGGAGAGTGAAGGCTTCTTCCCAAGGGGCTGTTTGCATGAAGCAATGCACTGCAATCTTCAGTGACCTCCCTGGAGGGAAGGTTTGCCTCCTCAGGGACAGCTTCAGCAGGACAGATAGCAGAGGACGTGAGGTAACGAGCCAGGCAGACACGGCTGAGAGGAAGCCCAGATAGAAGACCACTGAACCTTCCTAGGCGAAGACAGATCCCCTCATCACTTCACGATTCTGCCTCATCAGACTATAGGTTTGCCCATAGTTTTGCCAGAAAAACCCTCTGTTGCATTCCTGATGGCCACACACCTGGATGATCTCTGGCTGTTTCTCCCAACCCTTTCTATCCTGGATTGTATTTACCAAAATTTGTATTCCTCTGAACCTCTAGGAATCTTTCTGATGCTGTCCTACGGAAGTAAATTAACTTTATTCAGAGTGCAGTGTCATTTTTAATGCGTAGAGTTATCCTTAGGTACTTTAAAAAGAACTTCACATTTTCAGCTGCCCAAGAGTGGAAGGCTGTGTTCCTGTTCATTAATGCACTTTTCCTAGACGTATGAAAACAGAGGAGGGAGGGTCAGCACTCGGTGCATTGTAGCAGGGTTCCTGCATGTGATGAGAGGGGTTCCAGAAGGCCCAGTTTCTGTCATTAAAATATAAATCTCACGAGGGCAGCAATATTATAGTCACTGCACAGACCCAGCAACTAGAACAGCTTCTGGCATTTAGTAGGTACTCAATAAATACTTATAGAATGGATGGACAGATGGATGGATGAACGAATTCTGACTAAAATCCTAGG